ATAGCCGTTCTATCAACCATACACAAACCTCCTCCGCTCCCTGGGGAAGTATTCCTTTATGCGTATAATCAGCACTACTAATTGCATTCCGTGTTATTCACCTTCTACCAGGTGCCCATTTATACGACTGGGTGCAAATGCAGATAAAGTGTCTTGCCCAGGGACACAAGCAGTGCGACGAATATCGGTCTCGAACCCCCGGCCTTTCGATTAAAAGTCCAACGCCTTACACGCTGGTCACCGCGATATGAAATTAGTGACATCAAAATTCGGCAAACTTGGTTCGGCAAACTGGGTTTCGACCAACTGGGATTTCAAGTTTTCGGTGAACTGGATTCTGCAAACTGGGTTTCGGCAAAGTGGCCTAAACTTGGCAAACCGGGTTTCGGCAAACTGGATTTCGACCAACTGGTCGGATACCAAAAAGACATTGGCATTTTGCTAAAACGAAATCTTGTCTGTAGGCCCCTATCAATTGATATGAGTATTTCATTATTGCTATTGTATAACGTATAGAGATTGAAGTCATATACATTTAAAATAATGAAAATTTGTAGCCTACATCTTGTTGAAAATTTTGAAGAAGGTGGGAGATACCCACAAAAGCTTTAAAAAAAACCCAATATGGGCAATGTATCATGTAGTAGTAATAGGCCTATTAGTAGTACACAATTTTAGATGGTTAGCCGACGCGTGGGCCATGAGTGAATCGCCTATAGGGCCATGGGTCCACACACAAACTTCGGCAATGTATTGTTGAGATAAATTTTCGTCTATATATAACTGGTAGAAAAATGTTCTGGCATCTATTAGGTTTTTTTAATTATTTTTTTTTTTCCAAATCAGGCATTCATCAATCAGTCTAGAATCGTTTGTGCACTAAACATTTCTGTGGTACGGTACCACATGAGGTTCCGTCATTGCTCATCACACTACAACTGTAGGTACACTGTTACACAAACCAGATTGTTACTTGCTATTGTCATAAAGCTAGTAAATTTGATACGAGTGTACGTCCACTGACAATGCGTATACTACACCCCTTCGAAACAATCGACGAGTCTCCCTTTGGGGAATTTCCCGATACGTCATCATCATATTTTTAAAAGCTTGGATTTTTTCAAGTGTTCTGGAATTTCCATGTTGCTAAAAATTGGTGTCGAAAATACAGGAAATATACTTTCAATATGAAAAATACAGTAAGACCTACAAAATACAATCAATATAGGGTGGGAAGCATTTTTTCCTTGTCGTTGGGAAATTTGAAGCTGACTCATAAACACATATTCATACACTACAAAAATACCCAGGCACCCCTCAACTTATGGATAAAGGGCACCTAGATTCGATATTACAGTATTATGATTTGAATTTATATTCCGTCACTAATTTTAACTTTGATATGTTCATCATGATATCCTATGACGACATAGGCATAAACGCAGTACTCCTATTAATTTCAATCCTTCTTTCCGGCAGTATTGTTTCTAAGATTATGAAATGTTTTTTCCATGCATCAAGCATTTTATTTATTGAAGTGACTCACCACGGTATTTTGTATTACCTTCACGTTGACTTCAAAGTAGTCCATTAGCGCAAAATATTTTAGTTAACCCATCCTGCTGAACAACTCATCTGAACTAATATAAATGTGACCTTACGTAGGCTATCTTAAGCGCATGCGTAGGATAGGCCTATCTCATGTCAAGTACGGGTAGTGATTTGAGTGATTTAATGGACTAACAGTAACTTGACAGGCGTTTTCTGTGCAAAGTCTTCGCAACTCATTTTTATTTTGCACTTATAATAATACCAACACAAGTATAACAATTATAATATTTTTTTGCATTATATCAATAGGCTTACGAAACAATGATAATTTGCTTTCAATTTTTTGTTATTTTTTAAGACCTGATAATGATAGGGGCATACTGTTTTTCATTTCTTTGTTGGTGATTATTAATACGAAGTTTGGATTGATAAATCAATAAGACACATTTCTTTTTTTTATATGGTATTAGCTTTGTTGAGTCCAGTGGCGCAGCTAGATGACAGTCCCCAGTACAAGAGTAATTACCGGGTCCTTTTATGTGTAGTGTCAAACCATGGTCAAACGACAACAGTGGCGTATCTAGCAGTATTAAAATGGGGAGAGGGTGGGG